TACGTCACAGCATCACGGCACATTCGCATGCACACTTGTTGTTGGGCCTGCAGCCACGACAGTCACGCTTAAGCGTGGGACCCTTGCAGGAGAAGCAGCTCGTCTTTGCCTTTGAGGGCGGGGTCGTGGAGGCCATTCAGAATGGCTCGCGCGAGCTTGCCAGAGTTGTGGCCTTGGAATTCAACAGAACACTAGCTGCTTGGTGTATCTTGTACGCCATGCTGTCACAGTGCTGTCACTTGCGTCCGGGACCACATAAGGCCTTGGTCACCTTCGCCATGCAGGGCCTTCCTGAAAAGCAGCAAGAGCCGAAAGGCTGGGGGTTGATTACTTACTGTCAACTTGTTTGCCTTTCAATACTATTACAGCCGGCAAGCAGGGCGTGATCGATGGCATGTGTAGGTTACAGAGGCATGAAACAAAGCACGAGTAGCCACTCGCTGCCGTTGTGCAGACGTGTGCCTGGCGAAAGCAGAAAATTTTGAAAAGCAGCTTGAGCATGCGAGCTCTCGTACCTGAGGCAAACAAGGTCTCTCTGAGCAGGCGGCGGCCATCGTGAACTTATTGAGAATGGCGATCGGAACTGTCGCCCAAGGCAACGCGTTCGTTACTCGCAGCCAGGCCACCTCATGTGCGTTTGCCCATCCGCTTGCCTCAAGGTCAAAGCGAACCTTCAGAGAGCTTGCCAGATCTGCCAGAGCGACCGCCAGAACCCATTTCCATGGGTGGCGACGACCCCAATGCCAGCGAAATGCGAAGCCCAACGACAGTAGCGACAGAAGCGGAATCGAAACTTGAGGACCTGCTTGCTTGGAAGCTTGGCTGCTTTGACTGAGATTCTTCCACGCCAGGAGGATTCGGAGTCAAGAGAACAACTGCTTGAAAAGCCACTCAGATGAACTTTGCCAGACTCGTTGTGTGTACCATGCCCCAGTGTCAGCGCCACCTAGGCTCTTCGAAGAGATGAAGGACATGGATGACTCAGACTGGTGGGGCGCACTAGCGCAGGCTTCTGACGCAGAAGACGTCCAACAAGAGGGAAGCGGGGTTGAGCCGGACTTCTCCGTGTCAGACTTGCTTCGGAACGCCGGTGAAGCGACCCTGTGCCGCACCAAGCTCACCCGCCCTATACTGGTGCGACAAGCCACAAGCCAAGATGACCTTTAAACCAGCCAAATTCCTAGTCATAGAGTAGCCTTAAGATCCCTTGCTCTCTTGTACGTAAATCACGAAAGAAATCCTTAGGGCGAAGCATCCGCAAACCGAAATTCTTCAAAGGTCGCTTCGGGGCTTCTACTGTTGAACTTGGGGAACCGCCGGAATATCGTAACTCTCCGGAATCCCCAGGCTTGATTTCAGGCGAAGGCGGCGATCCAAGGCGACGTCGCGAGAGCCTGGAAGGCCTGGGCTTCACTTGTTTGCCTCTGTTTCTTTTCGGCAGACTCTTTGGCATTGGGCCAATCTCAATCTAAGCCACGAAGCACTTGGGTGAGGAAGAGCGGCTCCTCGTCTGTGCCAGCGGTGCAGGCAGAGGCTGCTGGCAGAGACCAGGCGCCTCCTTTGTATGCGCCGAAGCTGCGCCCATCCATAGTGATGGGCCGTTGATTTCAGGAGCTGGCCGAGTTGCTGCCTCCCATGGTGCCCTACAACGTCGCGGAAAGCAGCGTGCCCTACGATGCCCAGCCAGGACTCGCTTCAACTGACTGAGTTGAGTTGAACTGGGTGAGTTGATTTGAGTCGAGTTGCTTGCTCTGTATCTGATGTCAGGGGGGCCGCGACCGGAGGGACGCGGACAGGGAAGTCGCCAAGCCTCCAGCCCAGAGGGTCAATTTCAAATTTCAGCAATCCCCAGCTTTATTTTCCAAGATCAAGCTCTAGTTTTGATTGTTTCTTTGTTGCAGAGACTCTGTCTGGGGGTAAGGCGATGGTTGACGCGGCCGATGCTTCCGGGCAACCAGCTCGAAAGGCCCACGAAAAAGCTTTCTCCTGCTCTTAGAAAGAGCAGCATCTCTGCCAGGATGGGGGCCGTGCCCCGGCCCGAGGTGAGCAAGACGAGGACACCAACTCACGTGTCCTGCTTCTTTGGTGCTCCTGCGGATGAGAGTGGAGGAGTCTTTCGTTGGCAGGACCAAAGGGATTTGAGGCCCAGGAGGATCCTGCAAAGGGAGAAGCGGCAGCTGAGCCATCCCAGAGGATACCCGCTGGAAAGGCCACTCCTCAAGTTGAGATTCCACATATCCCCTATAAACCCTAAAGCTATGACAGAATGAGCATACACCGTGGAGCCCCATGCCTTTCGGGCGCTCGCAGAATCGCACTGGACCTGGACACGCCGCCCATGGAGACGGGCAGCTTCCAAGATTTGGATGTCCGCTTGGGGGACTTGCAAGATGCGCTTGGCAAGGCCTCCGCTCCTTCGGCCAGCTCCTTCGGCTTGCTTTTGGAATTTCGTTTTCGGATACGATTACGACCCCCTCCTCAAAAAAAGTCCAAAACAATCGTGGAAGGAGGTTTGTTGTGTTCGTTCCTCGGTCTTGCGGTGCATGTCTGTGAAAATCGAAAGCCTGGCACCCACACAATGACTTTGTTTGCAGGGAGAGGAGGGCGGGTGGACTAGGAAACATATTGGTGGCTCGGAACCAAGCAGTACAAACAAGCATGAGCAGAACTCTTGATTCGTGATGCCTGACAGCTTTATCTGGGCTTTGTCGTGTCCGGGTCTAAGATTTTTGGATAAGGCAGCTGTCCTTGAATGTAGCCACCCCGCAAACTGCGTGTGGGGGGGGCTGCTCCCGTTTATGTAGAGAAGAACTTGAGGATACCCGCTGCAGCATTGACAAGCACGATGGTCAGCAAACCGGATTCAGGCAGCACCTTCATGCAACAATGCAACATGCAAGGCGATTGAACCACTATCTGTTTATCGAGCTATCATGTATGGGCAAATTTCTGTTCAGAGCGATATGCTAACAAGAATTGTGTGACGAAGAGCGTCAACCAGTAGATTGGAGAGGGTGTTATCAACTCACACGTCTGAGGCAGCATGCAGCGTAGCCCGGTGGGCCAAATCGGGGAGCAACTGGCGGCACTTTCCCTGGAGCAGCAAGGCTTTCAGGCCGGGAACCTCCTTGACTGTGAACTATGTTTCCGCCCGAGGCCCGTGTCAAGAAACTGACAGTAAGATCTGGTGTGCTTGTGGTTGTTCTTGCGAGGTTTGCTGGATCAACGAGGCCAGTGAGCTGGGGCTGCCCTGCGACCTCATCCTAAGCACCATGGCACTCGTGGACATTGTGCTGCATGCCTACGAAACCAAAACACAGCCATACCCAGCGGTGTCATACCTGTTTAAGGCCAGGGCGGAACAATGCCCACAATTTGCGGCGGGAGTGGATCAGTGGAAGCGGAGTTAGTCAAGGGCCTTCTGGACGCAGCACTGCGCGGAGAAGGATGCCAAGGGAGTTCGTTCCGGATCATGGCAGCCTAAAGCTTCGGGCACTTGATATGTGTATGCCAAACCACAGGAGTACCCTCAACCCCCCCCCCCGCCCCCCTGCCTGGGCGAGGTTCTACTATCCGGCTACTGCTACCGTTGACTTGGGCAGTTAAAAGGTCGCAAAAAGCGGAGGGGTCTTCATGTTTTCCCCCATTCACACAAGGGAGCAAAATTTTGAGCTCAAGCCCCGAAAGCTTTACTTGGTGTGCTAAACATACTTTGCAGAGTTTTAGGTCTTCGAGGAACTGACAGTGTCTGCAAGCTATTAAGTTCATGATTTGCGCATGTGAACACGAATCAGGTTTTGACATTAAGGGAGAGCATTGCGCTGCGCAGGAGATCCGAACATAGTTTTTGCGGAGGTGAAGTCCACGACGTCAGGCAATTGCAAGCCGCGGTATAGTGAGAGACGAGATCACATGCATCACTCACAGGTGACCGAGAGTTCTTCGAGATCTCGCGCGCCGAGGTCGAGGCACTATCGACCCTAGGACCAGCTCTGAGCATCTTGCAGAGTATCAACTGTGACTGGCAACCATGGTCACTGTCAATATTGCGCTGCTGAAGGACCCAGATATTGGATCGTTCGCGTCTTTGGCGTCCCACGCTTGGATGCGGCGAGCGAGCCGGGCGTCGCCAAGGCCACGAAGGCACTCTCTTGCCAGTGATCAGAGGGTTTTTGAGACTTAGACGTACATAGCCGTGTATACACGGTCGCATCTTCCCGAGAAGAAGACCATGAAGAGCACATTTGATTGCACAATATGCAGCTTCGCAAGCGATGTGTCCTGCGAGGTGCGGCTTTGGAAAGACCCAAACAGAGCCCTTGGGAGGGGCGAGATGAAGCTGTTGCTGCTGACTTGAGGTATTGCCTCGCGGAGATGGCAGTAGCTACTAGAGTTGCTATTTCTAGAATAGGCCGCGCACAATCTGTACTGTAGTTACTGTAGTGTAATTACCTGCCGGCACATGCCTATCCTGGGGTGCCTACGATGGGCATGGGGTGGGTAAGTGAGCACATGCAAGAATAACTTTCTGCGCATCTCCATCGCGGCGTGGTGTAGTGCAAGCTTCCGTCTATGCCGCGCGTCGATTATTTCCGGTTTCCGGAGTTGACAGTGCTGTTTGTTTCTTTAATTCTTGCTCTTAAGAGGCGGCTGGTGGGGCTTCGATTTGCATAGACCTATACCTTTCTCAAGTACATTTTTCACGTAGCACGGCCATCACCTGAAACTTACTTGCGCCCGCCGATAGCCTTGAGAGTGTAATTTGTGCACCAAGTCAGCACAAGCATGGTAAGCACACCTGTTGCACCAGATCTTCGGAGTGCTGCGCTGGCGGCTCCCTGCTGCGCGCGCACCATGAAGTCTCGAGTTCGACGGGGTGCTGTCTGCTTGTCAGTCGCAAAGAGGAGCTTGACGTCGACAGCACGCCTGGAGTGCGGCACGCTTCCTACGTTACTCTGACTCTACACGGGCCTTCAGAACGAAGTAGCCCGAAGCAACCCATGACCCAGGATTTCGTTTGTCCAGTGAGCCTTGGCTCCAAGCTACAGCCGGGATCGATCGGAAGCGCCCCATGCCGGGACCCACAGAGGTCCAATCATGGCTTCGCCCCACAAGCAGTGCCGAATATGCTTGGAAGAGCATTCCAGCCGCTTGATTGCAGCAGCAAATGTGTGATATTCAAGGCCTGCGATGCTTCAATAGCAACAGAAGCAGTACCCAACCCGCAGGTGATTCCATGCTTTCGCCGTGCTTGTGCCGCGGATCTGCCGCGTGGGTGCATCGAGACTGTCTGCTCAGAGCCGCTTGGCGAGTCAGCAGACATGTTCTGAATGGGGCTGGGCACAGCAGCGCTGCGCCCTTGTCCGGTTGCAACTTGCACCCCTGAAGGCGTACATCCACAAAGCAGTGTGGCATGAGCTGGCCTGCTCCGTCTGTGGTCACGCGTACAGCGGCGAAGCCGCGTTCATGCTAGGCCTGGAGGAATGCAGAAACCTGTGGTGCAGGAGGTCTAATGAGTCTAATGGATTGCGCTGGTTATTACCAGATGACAGTCAGCCTCGCGACAGGTTCCGCTGGGCTTAGATGCTGCGAAGAGAAGCACGGTGTTGACTCGGTTCCCGCTGCGCGAGCACGGTGCAGCCTTGCCATTGCCAGTGGCGATTTGGGCCGGTACCGACAGCAGATGCAGTTGTTGAAGAGGGCACTGCAAGTCTATGAAACAGCATCCTGGCTCGATGGTTGTGTTGACTGTAGCCTCTGAAACTTCTTGGTGACTCTGTAATCGGGCGTTCTTTGCCTTGACCATGTGACTGTCGGAAACCCTGAAAACCCTAAAACATCCTGCCTCAAATGGGAAAACCCAGGGGTTTCGTAGGGATAATGGGCCAATGAAGCAACGCATGGGCATGGGTGATGAATTGGCTCATGATGTCTGTACAATTCTGAGATGTCAGGTCATGTAGAGATTAACTGGCCCAATTTGAAAAGACGCCGAGCTGAAAGAGGAAAGGGGTACCGGGCAAAAGCACGCATGTAAAAATGGAAACAGGCATCTGTGGAGCCACTGGCTTGCCCGAAAAACGGGAAAACATAGGGGAACACAGGGCAAACGCACGCAAAACACCGAACAACGGCAACGCATAGGGAAAGCACAGGGAATGCAGGTGGTCGTGTGGGAAAATGGTGGGAAGAGAGTACGCGACATGGCTTAGGGTGTCAGTGTAAGGCGTAGGTGTGGGTAGGGCTTAGGGCTTAATTAAGTACGATCACTGTCATAGCTGCGCAGCAGAAGTACAGGGCGACATCATTCCAGTCTGCGGCTTTAGTGCAAAAGGGCAACCACGTTTGGAGTGCTTGCCCGGCAGTTCGAACAGGCCTGCATGCAAAAGGGTGATTGGGTTTAATGTTTAGTACTTTGCGTCTTGGTAAGCTTTAGTGGGATTTTGTTGGGTTTCAGTGGGTTGTTGTCAGGTGTAGTGGGCTTTTGTCAGGTTTTGGTGGGGTTGTATCAGTTTTCCGTGGGGCTTTGACAGGTTTTAATGACTTTTAGTGGGCTGTTGTCAGGTTGCGAAGGGTTCCTTGTGGGATTCTTGCTCGATGAAAGAAACCCCAAACAAAGAATACAGGGAGGCTGATCTCTGATATCAGGAACCCAACACAGCAGCACCAGCAGGACCCTGTAAACCGCGACTTCTTGGGCCCTGTGGCATTGGAAACCTTAGGTGTTTGGCGCTAGTCACATCACCGTCGGGGTGACGCTTGGTTTGATCGCCGACGCGCACGGCCATCTTGGTGAGTACCAGAAGCAGAAGGAAGCAAGCGAGAAAGCAGTACAGATCGAAGAAGACGTTTTTGGTGCTGGGAGCCCGAAGCTGTGTTCAACCTTGAGCACACTGGCGGCTGCACACCGGAACCTGGGAAACTTCCGCTGTCAAAAGGAAATTCTAACACAAGTCCTCCACATTGACACCGCGGCATTCGGGGCGCAGCACATAGACACCGCAGCTACCATGGCGGCTTGGACGCACAGAGCTTCGACACAGGAACACTGCGCAGAATTCAACTGTGCCTGGTTGTGCGGGCCAGGTGAATTTGGCAGATGCAGAAGGCAACCTGGGCAACTACCAGGTACAACATGTCCCAACGGCTTGCTCACTTCATGTCGAATGTCTGAAGTCTAAAGTTCTTATGGTGAGCTCAGCGGCTCAACTTTTCCATCTGCGCAGGCACAGCAGGATCTGCTCGAACAAGCCATGGCCATCAAGGACCTTTCCTCTCAGCACATTGGACATGAGTTTCTCTGTCCTTCTCTTTTGGCTTGAACCGCTTTGGCAGGAGAAGCACTTCGGATGCGACCATCCCAGCACTGCCGTAGCCATGGTCAATTTGGCTGCGGCGCGTGCTCATGTCGGGGATTACGTCTCGCAGCAGCAGTTGCTCCTGAAGGCGCTGCAGATCAAGCAGCGGGAGTTCGGCAAGGACCATGTAAACACCTTCGTGGCAATGCGGAGTCTGGCAGAGAGCTATGGACGGGTGGGCCAGTACCAGGAGCAGAAGGACCTGCTGGAGCGAGTCCTCTCGATTGTTCAAAGTGAGTTTGGCTCTGACCATGTCGAAGCGGCCATCACCTTGGGTGGCTTGTCTCTTGCTGCCGCAGGCCTTGGACACTACAAGGAGCAGCTCGAGCTGGCCCAGCGAAGCATGACCATCATCGAACGCGAACACGGCCGCAAACATGTGCGGTCCGCGGCAGCGTTGAGGGTACTGGCAAACGCCTGGGCAAGTTGTGGCGAATATCAAAAGGAGGCAGATGTTTCCAAGGAGACTCTGGATATTCTCATTGAGGCCTATGGCCCAAAACATGTGCTGGTCGCAGAAGCAATTGCCACCCACGCGCATGCCATGGGCAACTTAGGCCTTTATCAGGAACAACTGCGACTGGCAGAAACAAGCTTGACGGCTTTGGAAGCGCACTTTGGACCTCAGCACTTGTCCATCCTACCCTGTCTGGCGACCGTCACAAGTGCGCGTGGAGAGCTGGGCCACTTCCAGGCTGCTCATGAAGCGGCACGGCGTGCATCCACCATATCACAGGCAAGCTTCGGCACTGACCACGTAATGACGATGAGCTCACTCTGCCTCTTGGCCAATGCCGAAGGGGCATTGGGCAACTATTCTGCAAAGCAAGAGCTTTTCGAACGTGCTCTGGGTATCGGCACCGCACAACTTGGAGCAGACCATGTTGACGTTGCGCTTCTCCTGCGAGGCACACTTGTCGCAGAGCCCGGGTATGTACTGTAGGGTGCTCAAAAAAAGACAAGCTGTCCTGCACAAGACGCAACAAGCAACAGCAGTGCCCGTGCCTGAGGCCTTGGATCAGCACTCTCCGAGACTGGTCAACCTGGTGCTGCGCAGCCTTTGCTTGAGAGAGCTCTTCGGATTCACAAGAAACACTTTGGCTTGGGGCATCTCGAGACGGCGAGAACGCAGCGGTGTCTTGGAATGATCCTGGTGGCACTTGGCAAGCCTGCGGAAGCACGACTTTTGCTCGAGCACTCCCTCTCCAGCTTTGAGACGCAGCTTGGGAAGGCACCTCGGAAGTGTTTCCATGCCTTCCCAGGGAACGCTATGGAAGGGTCTGGACTCCTGCACCTTGCACCTGAGGCCCACCTGCAAGTGGCCAAAACACTTCGTCATCTGGCCTTGTCCTATCCACCCGGAGCTGAGAGGGCCGACGCTGCCCGCCGAGCGCTGCCCATCCTGCAGGAGGAGGTGCAAGCAAAAAAATGCTTAGGGGGCCCCCCCCAGGCTTTGTAGGGACACGCCGTTTTCGGCCCTTCTTGGCCCCCAGGTCGGCCCGACGCATCCCTGGGTTCTTGAGATCGAAGACATCGAAGGCATCGAATCGCAGTCTGCCAAGAAGCGACGACGGTGAAGCGCTGTGGACCCAGCTGTGGACCAATGGAGGAGCCTTCAACAGCCCCATCATGCCTCGTCAAGCTACTGTCCTCTACTAACTCTACTATACTCTCCTCTAGGCTTGGCGTGTGTATCGTGTACTGGAATGCCCTATCAACAGCGGAGTCAAGGATTTCATTCTTCCCGTTGAGCAAATCCGCTGCCAGGAACAAGAAGCAGAGAGCTTCAGGACGAGGCCGAAGTTGGGAAACGTTGGGGGGGGGGGGGGGGCGGGGGGAGTCTTTCCTTGACGGAGAGCGTGCCAGCGTGCGCCAATTTTGCCAAACAGGTCCTGTCACTTGAAGATTTTAATGATGGGGGCACCACATTGGGCGATATGGGTGCCTTGCCGGCAACATTGCAGCCTGGAAGCTGAGTTCGTTGAACCGCTTTTGGCAAACGACGAGCAGTGTCCCGCACAAAAGCCTAGGTTGGCAGCGCAGAGGGCGCTCTTGCTGCTTGAAGATGAGAGCCTCGAAGCTCGGCAGCTTTCGTTTGAGTGCAGGGCTGTTTGGGGCTTTCCCATTCTATGCGAGCATCAAGCCAAACATGGGACAAAGGAGAGTTGTTCCTGCAGACATTGCTCTGCTCCATGAACCGAAACGCCCCGAGGCGGGCATGTGAAGCCATTCCCGACACTTCAGTAGCGGCTCACTCGCACCTAGGATGGCCTAGCGCCATGGCCTTGTCCCCTGAAAGCCTCATCTGTTCTCAGATCCCTGAGGCTGACTCAGAGCTGCTAAATGCGGGCTGGTGCGTCACGGCTTATGTGGAACACACAGGGATGTTCTCACAGGCGCCGGGAATTCTGCCACTTTACAGACATGGCCATTCGTAACGGAAGCAGGATCGGGCAGCTGGCATTTGCCATGGCATCAAGTTCATAAACCGCAGGATGCCGCAGGCCTTAGGCTTCAGCAGGGCCTTTCTATCAAGGAATGAAGACTCTTTCTTACCCGTAAGGTTGTACCCCTAAAGGTTCCCTTAACATACTCCTAATATGGCCTTTATGTCCTCTTAGGGGCCCAAAACCCAAGGGTACAACCTTAAGGGTCCAAGGTAGAACCCCTAGATTCTATACCAGGCAGATCTGCCGTAGTCTGCCATGACCACCCCCTGACCTGCACGGATGGAGCCAGTCCGACCGTGCCTCGACGTATAGACATGTAGAGACATCGTTTCTTTGCGACCAGCACACATGCATCACATGATGTCACATTGGCCATTCCTGTTCCTGCAGCAGCCTAGGCGGCCTGCCCGTCCCAGCACCGTGCCACTCCAAGTGGGACCTAAGATGATGGCACCGAAGGCGAAAACGTTACCGGTCCCTCCAACTCGTTGCACGGCGAAAGCGCCGGAACCTTCTGTGCCTTCAAGGCCGACTCCATCAGCGGTCCCAGAGCCACTCACACCGACACGCACCAATGACTCCAAATTCAAGCAACAGGCGGGCACAGCGCTGACCCCACCACGCCCGGCTCGCACGGAAGCATCCAGAGTGCATGAGGCGGAGGGCTCGGACAAACCCAAGACGCTGAGGAGCGTGGACTTCCTGCAGGGCCTCCAAGGCGGTTCAACAAAGTCCCAGTCCACTGTGCCTGAGCCTCCGTGGCGGATTCCTGTGATGGCTCACCCGCGCCACGCTGTCAAAAGTCAAGTTTGTTACAAGGTGTTGCTCACCGACTTGCCAGTTGGTGTCACAGAGGCCCACGTGGTGAGACAGCTAGAAGAAGCTGGCCTAGAAATGCCCTTTGAGCTGCAAGTCTGCACACAAACGCTGACCTGTGTCCTGTACTACCCGTTGCATGCTGAATCGCTGCCATCGATTGCGCAGAAGAGCCTTGCCTACAGGATTGTCCGTCGTAGGAGCGCCACATCAGTTTTCACTACGCGCTTGCTGGCCCCTGTTTAGCCCAGGGACCTGCCCTTTGAGCACGATGGACTGCAATATACTCTTCCATCAGCTCTGGTTGGCAAAGTGGAGTTCATGTGGACGGAGCCACGTTCACAAAAAGGCGGGGCTTCGGGGTGCAAGTGCACACATGCGCACCTGTACCCTGTACGCTGTACGCTGTACTGACAGCGCGCTTCAAGCTTCAAATCCCAAAGCTCCCTGCGCCCAGGAAAGCCAGCAAAGCTCCTTGGTCCTCTCACGAAGACCGCCTGTCATGTCGAGAGTTGTCTGCCCCGGCATCCCCCTTGGCTATAGATCAACTTACGCCTGGATGAGCTGAGCAGCCGAGGCCTACGAGAGAAGACGCTGGAAAAAGTCACGGAGGCCATTGCGGCCCTGCAGCTCGGCACACGACATTGCTTGCACGAAGGGGCCACCCTTGTGACCAAAGCTCTGTAAAGCTCAATGGTCCGACCTTCTCAGCACGGCCTGAAAGCCAAGGCTTCGACAAAAACTGCTGGTAGCACTACTGGTCCTCGACGGCCATCCCTCGAAGATGAAGCAGAGGCTTTTGATGTTTGTTTGTTTGTTTCTTTGTTTGTTTGTTTGTTTGTTTCTTTGTTTGTTTGTGTGAGAGAAGTGCGTGAAGTGCGTGAAGTGTTTGTGTGTGTATGTGTGAAGTGTAAGTGCGTGAAGTGTTTGTGTGTGTGTGTGTGTGTGTGTGCGTGAAGTGTGCACTGGCTTGAGTGTTTTGTGAATGCCGAGGTTGATTCCCAAACTGGGCAGAGTTGCAGCCTGAGTGCCGTGGGTGCAAGAACCATCGGGAAGTTTGAGCGCTTGCCATCACCATGCGCATAGATTAAATGTTTCGACACGTGCGGCAATTCGATTCGAAGGTGGCTACAGCACGCAGAGTCTGGTGGATGCCTGGGTGCAGCGGGTAGGGAGTGAAGAGCTCCCGAGTGTGGGCTCGACGTGGCATTACAATCAAACCTGTACGCCATGCCGATTCCTGCACACTGGCTGCAGGAGAGGCAAGACCTGTGACTTTTGCCATTTGTGTGATGGGATGCGGAAGCGGAAACGCTTCGAGGCAGAGGAAGCCGAGGAAGCCGAGGAAGCTGTCGACATGGATGGTAGCACGGAAGCTGGCGAGTCGCTCAGCACTGACAGCAGCAAAGCCGACTCAGTCGAGATCAGCTCAGTGGCAGAGTTTGAGGACCAGGACCTGCAAGCATCACAGCCATCACACGAGGACATGGTCGAGCTCATCGGCCGTCTCTGGTCATCCGCACCGCCGTCTCTCAAGCCAGGCAAGACCAGGCGCACGACCAAGAAGAAGACGAAGACGTCCCCAGCCACAAGGTTGAGGAGATTCCTGAAGTTCCACGGCAAGCTTTGGCCTGGAAGCCGAGGTCGACCGGACACACGGACAGAAATGACAGAAACAGCATATTCACAAAGACCGAATGAGCCGGCTGAACCGCCACCATCGCTCTATCGCGGCTGGCGGCTGGAGTGCGAAATCCCAGTCCGAGAACTCCGCTACTCCCAGCGCACCTGCGGTTCACACTTCCGATGTGGTCGGAGATGCGAGGACTTGGTCCGAGATCTCCACGCGCAGAAGGTGGACGCCAGGACCTCCAACTTCCTCGTGTTGGATGTGATCCGGAAGAGGGACCGGAGAGGCCGGAACGTTCTTTGGTCCTTGGACAACCGCCGCCTCTGGGCCCTGAAAAAGTTCCAGCAATACGCGCAAGGGGAAGTCAAGTGCCGGGTGCGTTTCCAGGGTGACTTCGAGGCCTTGAAGCGCTTCGAGCGTAACTTTGACACAGACTGCGACGGTCGCCATATCAGGTATCGCCAGGACTCCCACAAGTGGCTGAGAGCTCGTGCACCAGTTGGTGCACCTGCATCGAAGCGACGGCGGACCGGACGTCGCTGATGCGACCAATTGTTTAACCAGGCCAAATTTAAAGCCGTCCTCTGTACATAGGCGTTCTCGCAGTCGAGGGGACGAAGGCATCCGTTTTGGATCAACGGTCGCAGGGCAAAGTTGCCGAATATCCGAGTATGAGTTGTGACAGCTTGAAAGTTTGCATCTCAAGTAGAGCAGCATGTTCACCAGTGATTGTTTGCGACCTGCAGCGCGTGAAAGCCTGGCAGAGTGACCAGCATCAGCACTTGACTCACCGGACGGTGCCAGATTCGTTTCCTTACAGATAGGCCTTACACCGCAAGTCAGAATAACAAAAGGTTAGTGACGGTTAGTTCTACTTGTGATGTTGCGAAGGCTCGTCCATGCTTGTCTGGTAGTGTTGTGCTGCTGACATTGCAGGCATCCTTCGCTGCGCATAGGGCATAGTTGCGCCTATTTCCATGACAACACAGTGTGATGGGACTCAGTGAGAAAGCATCCAAAAGGCGCAATGCCAGCCGGCCATGTTAACTACTTGCTGGTGCATGATGGCGTATGCTTCATGAAAAACACAAAGTTCCTTCGAGAGACGACCGGTCAGATTTGGTGTGACGGGGTTTCGCGAAGACTCTGGCAGGCAGGAGCCTGCACCATGCGCCGGCAGTTGGTTGCCTAGGCGGCGAAGTTATCGGTTCTTCGTCGCATGTTGGCGTCAGCGACATGCTAACGGAAATGCATGGGCATGAAACATGAGTTGATGTGGACTTGAGCCTTCGCAGAGGATGGCGGATGGGGCGATGCAGGCTTTTGCTGCGGAGGTGGGACTGTGGGATTCTCTGAATTAAGCTGGCCATCCGCCGCAGCTCGGCGTTGCCCCACTTCAGGGTTCGTTTTCGAGGGGGCTTGAATGCTGCGGTGCTTTGGCATAAATATGTTGCCTGCGCCGGCGAAGGTGCAATCCTGAAACATCCTGACTTGAGCTTCCAGCATCTCCACGGCTATGTCCACAGAATGCCCACACCAAGTGCATGGATGTCCTGCTGTGCTTGACGATGGTCGACATTTATCCACTCATTCTGAGCGTATCTTAGCCCCGGAGCCTCGCGAGCTCAGGCTGGAGCCTGAGTGTACATAAACCTGGGAGCCATGTAAACTCATTGGAGCGCGTGCGGTCAAACGGTTGTGAGGTCACACGCTCCGCCTGGCAGACCGGATGTGAGCTCATGATCGGGAGAGGGCAGCACCTGGCAGCGTTTGCGAGCGTGCTTAAATTTCCTGAAGCCTGCCCTTGGGCACTGCAGGCATGTCCGACCCCTGTAGCAATATGTTGCACCGGTCTGCTGGCAAAACCGTGTGCCTAAAGGTTGCGATGAGCTTCTGCAGGTCCTAGCGGACCATTGCCGCGATGCCAACGCGGAACTTGAATTGAAGAGCTTGATGCAGCTTGATTCACATTGCACCCTTTCGGCTCCAGCCCGCGTGGAGATGTTCCGCGGCATGCAGCATCAGAGCCAACAAAAGACCACACCGCCACAGCATTTCCAATTTCACCTCACCCTTAAAGAAATCCTCTGTAACATCTTTCGTCCTGATGACCAAAATGCACAGAGTTGGAGTGGTTTGAGGATGTACGGAGGTGGCGACGAGGAGATGCCGGCCTTGCAGTTGCCAGTTAATCACAGGTATGACTTCAACTAATCTTCCAAGGGCAGCCCTGTCCTCTTCGCAGGGGGACTTCCCAGCGCTTGGTGGCCCGGTATCCAAGTCCAAAGGCAAGGGCCGCGGCAAGGGCAAGGCCCAGCGCATGGGGATTTGCGACTTGTGGCAGATGATGGATGTAGGGTTTTTGGGGTCTGTAGAAGGCTCCTTCTGAACACTGGATAGTGATGAGTGTTTCTAAGGCTTGTAGGGGGTGTCCTTTCGGGGAGGCCAAGGCTGTGTTATAACATGGCTACCAGAAGAACAGGATAGAAGATCTCAGGAAGGAAATTGTCACTCCTTGAAAGCCGAAACGAAGTTGAGGCTTGCAAGAAGGTGAGGGGAGATATGGGAAGGAAGCCACCACATGTTGGGTCACACGACCACTAAGAATAGTAAGGATGTTTGCCATGAACACAGAAAAAAGAGGAAGCACAACAGACAGAGCGACGGAAAGCCAAAGTAGGGCTTGTCAATGTTTGGAGGACGGTCCGCCGTCGCAGCCTGCCCCCGGGGAGCTGTCTCAGGCGCCTCAGTCATTGTTCCTTGCATCAGAATGTCTTCATGAAGGGCTTGGTACGAACACTACGTGGCGATGTGTGGAGAGTAGGCTCTCAGCTGATCCTCGCATAGTTATGACAACACACACCCTCACGAGCTCAGCCAACGGGTGTTAGATTGCCGGCCTCAGCTTTTGGAGTCAAGAAAGACAGCGGAGAATGCTCTTCCAACCAGGCCGCCCCGCCAAAGAAGTCCACCGCAGCGCCGCCGCCGGCAAAGCATCCTAGCGACGCGGCTCCCAAGGCCGTCACTCCATTTTGGCGAGCTGGTCTCTGCAACTGTTGACCCGGCCTCGCGCAGTGGACTAAGGACCTAGATAAACATGGACTTCACTTTCCTAACCTCCCCTGAAGGCACCGCCGAAGGCACCTCCGAAGGGCCCAGAGGCGGGGCACTGCACATGGCTGGGGTACTCAGTTACTCAATACTGTACTTAATCCTATTCGTTCTACAGGTTTATGCAGATTCTCCTCCGATTCTACTCCGGCTATTCGGCGTGTTGGGATGCGAGGATGCTTCCGTGTGCGGATTGTGCTCTTTGCCCCCCTCACGTATAAAGCCGTCATCCGACTACAGCTGCGGGATGTTAGGGCATGCCCGAATTGACACCGTGATCAGCTTGGAACACGTGCGCCCATATGAGTTGGCATTCGCTGGGGTTACACGACAACGAAGGTGGCTTCAGTGGCTTCCCTCAAATGTTGTGTGTCCATGGGTAAGGGAGATTTCACGTGCACTTAGTTCAACTTCCGCTCGCATGGTATGCTGGAGGCTGCGATCCCGAAGCCTCCGCCAAAGAAAGCCGCTGCGCCTCCTGCAGAGGTACCTCATGCGGTCACCATTTCCGTCGTTGCGTCCATGGCTGCTAACTGAAGGGTCGAAGGGTTTAGAGATTCCAGTGTCGGCTTTTCGCCTGCCCTGCAAGGCTGTTCCGAAGGCTGCAGAGGCTCTCCCCCTTGTTGCTCGAGTTGCCAAGCCACAAGAGGCCAGTGAGAGGCCTCTTCCAACTGGAAGGCTCCGCGCCGCTTCGGTGCGGAGGACTACGAAGCAGCAGTGGAACACGATGCCGCCCGGGACATAGGCCCAAGTCGACAGTCAGCGGGGTGAACGGGATCTCCTTAAATTTCTGGCCTCAAAATATCCGGATCCTCAGCCGTTGCGATTGTTTCCGTGGACTCCTGGCTCAGCTGAGGAAGCGGAGCGAAGAGTCACGCACACAGATGAGCCGGACAGCAAGCCGCAGTTTTCATCAATTGCTTGCGTTTTGCATCTGGATCCCTGACCTGCCCACTGGCGAAGCCCGGCCTTTCCTTCCCTGCCTTATGAATTGACGAGCTTTTGTCGGGCATCCCAAAAAGATTGACGAACGTAGACGCAGGCGAACACTTTATGCTGTTTAACTATATAGCATATAGGTAGTCAGGTCTCTCGCCGGGGCGCACGGGTTTTATAGATATCGCGAGCGCTTGCGTGGGGCGCCTCGGCAGCCAGACCGGCCCAACACGGGGTGTAGCGCGCGCATGAGCAGTCAAATGTTTTCTTGGTGCAGTTCCGCACGCGGCATGAGTTCAGGAGGTAGGGCGGGGTAGAGCGGGTCGGGGGACGGCTAAGACCCCCTGGACAATTGGCTCCTCCAGGCCCCTTGGGATGCAGCGGCAGAGAGAGAGAGAGAGGCCCCCCTTCCTGGCCCTGCCTTCCCTCCTCTTTCTGCACGCGGAAATCTTTCGCCCCGGTCCCATCCCGTACCCAACCCTTCATTCATGCATTGAGCCGGCATCAGCCCTGCCGATGATGTGCACAGGAGGACAGGCTGAAACTGGACATTCCAAACCTTTCCTTGGGGAAGATGCTTGGAAGCAACATCAGTAAGTGGTCGCATGCCAGCATGCTAGGCCCTACGCTCAGTCTGGCATCCACAAATGTTGCTGTTGCGTAGTTTGTGATGTGGATACGCATCTTGCGCTGCTTGTGCCGTAGGAGTGGGTCGCCTGTCAAGCTGGTGACGAACCACTTCCAGCTCTCTGTCAAGTCGCAGGGCACAAACACGGTAGCCTGGATGAGAAGGGACTTGAAGTCTACCTGAGACGACTTGAGAGAATGTCAAGGATGCACACACAGGTTTGGCGCTGCTGGCGAGTGGACTTCACCAAAATGGAAGAGGACAAGCCCAAGGACAGCGGCAACAGCTCAAGAAGAAACACTAAGGGAGGTACTGCGCTCAGCGAACAGGACCTGCGGGAGAAGAAAATGCCCAAGAAGAGGGGAGACGACGAAAGAGAAGTTCCCAAGGACCGGGGGAAATTTGTTGGAAGTTAGCTTTGGGGCTTGCTGAGGCGGGATTTTTTTTTTGGAAGCTAGCTTTGGGGCTTGCTGAGGCGGGACAGTTAGCTTTGGGAGCTTGCTAAGGCGGGAATTTTCTTGGAAGTTAGCTTTGGGGCTTGCTGAGGCGGGAATTTTATTGAAAGCTGGCTTTGGGGCTTGCTGAGGCGGGAATTGTTTTGGAAGTTAGCTTTGGGGCTTGCTGAGGTGGGATATTTTTGAAACTAGCTTTGGGGCTTGCTGGGGCTGGAATTTTATTGGAAGTTAGCTTTGGGGCTGGCCAACCAGGAAGTTTTTAGGAAGCTAGCTTTTGAGGCTTGCTAAGCGGGGTTTTTTTCGGAAGCTAGCTTTGGGGCTTGCAAGGGGGGAAGTTTTTTAAGAAGCTAGCTTTGAGGCTTGCTAAGGGGGGATTTTTTGGGAAGCTAGCTTTGGGCCTTGCTGAGGCGGGA